AGATTCATACAAGTATCTGCTACCAGCAGGTCGATACATTTCTTGCGATCAAGCGCCAGGCCATGGACCCACTGCTCGGTGTGCCGCGACCACTCGACCTGAAGAGCCAAGCTCGTTGAGACATCCGATAGTCGGGCTCCCGAGGCCGCCAAGAAACTAGTTGGGTGACACCACTTACGTCTCCAGGCCCCGAGCTTTCGGTAGATCGGGACCCCCCAAGGGCAAAGCCAAACGGACAACACAGAAAGCAAACGTTGCCCCTCAGGAAAAATCCTCTCTCCCTTCCTTAAAGCTGGATTCGGTATATGGTGGAAAGCCGAAGGGACCTGACCCGAAGACTGCATCGATCGAAGTGCCTCAGCGAACACAGCCAGGATGGATGGCGGCAGAGCTTTAGCTTCCGCAATCGCCCATCCATCGAGGCCGCCCGCCTTGCGAGAGGGCCGTGCCTGGAGAAAAGCGCAAACCTCAGCATCACTAAGGGAAGGCTCAGGGCACGGGCTCAGGGGTGGGAGTTCAGCTTCAGATTCCGCTCGGAAGCCGGCCCAGGTCGGAGCATGTGAAGATCCTCGAAATTTGCACAGAATCGGTCCCCAGGTCATCTGCTTCTTGAGAAAGGTAGTGGGCCGTTGGGTTTGCGCTTTTACCCAGGCACAGACCTCTCGTCCTCCAGTCTGACAGGATGCGGCAATTCTCGGTCGCCATTGACGGAGACGCTGACGTTGAGCTTCTGCTGCGCACCGTTCCTGCTCAGCTTGTACTTGCCCAGCAGCTTCTCGAGCTCGTGCTGCCGCGGGCCAGCAAAATGGCGCCCACCATCCTGGCCTGGAGTTGGCGCACCTGCTTGCAGCAGTTGGCCCAGAGCTGGTGGAAGAGCTGAGTGTCGATGTAGCTACTAGGTCCTTTAGCTTCAACGCGCTCGGCCCTGCAGCTGAGTTCCATGAGACGTCGGTAGAGCTTCGTGCACACTGCCACTCGATCCTGGACATAGCGCCCTGACTCGGGGTAATGGGTGGGGCTGCCCATCCTTGCACGAACTTCGGCGGATTGCCTCTGCCTCGGGCACCTTGCTTCGCGTGGCCCGCGCAGCACAAGTCCAAGAAGTCCTCGGCCAAGGTGTTGGCGATGTCGAAGATGCGCCCGGGGCCACCCTTGGCGCCGTTCAGGTCGGTAGCCTTCTTCGCGACGAGGTGCTCCCCAAGGTGTAGCTGTTCCTCGCGTGGCTCGAGGATGTCCTACGTTGTAGAGCTTAGGCCGTTGCCATCGCCGAACGCGGTGGCCAAAGGCGTCTGCATTGAGCGTGACCTCAAGTCCGAGATGGCCTGGGCACTTGAAGTCGCGGATGAGCTGGAAGTTGACAACCATCGCGTTCGCGCTGTCATTTGCGAACACGTAGTCGATCCTGGAGGTGTGCTCGGCATTGTCGCAGCGGTTCCAGTTGGAGTCGCGTCCGCATGTCTTGGCGCGGTGGTCAGCGCACCCGTTGGCCACGTTGTTCAACCGCCCCCCTGAGTGACCCAGTGGAGGAACGGAGAGTCGCTGATGTCGCACTGGGCGCCCATGGCGATGAAGCACGGGGCAGCGGAACCGCGAAGTGCCGCAGCCTGCCACACATCATTGAACAGGGTCTCGTTGGACTCCGTAGCCACACCGTAGACCGTGGCGAGGCAGTAGCCCGCGACGTGGCGGCCCTGCGAGGTGGGCATCGGAACGGAGACCTCCTTCCACCGCTGGGTTTGGAGGAGCCGTCCATGGACAGGATGGCTGCAAGCTGTGGGCGCGATGGGCATGGCGAGCGGGCTCACACTAGCAACGCCCCCGTGGCCTGCCTGAACGCCTTTAGCTGCGCACTGGCGCTCGCCCCGCTGCGCGGGGATGCTGCGGTCGACGGGTCCCAGAGGAGGGCCCCAGCGAGCCTTCCACCCATGTCGGTGTAGATGCTCACCCATACCAGGTTGTTGGCGTTGGGCGCGCCGCATTTCCTAGAGGGCAGCGACGGCGATGCCACTATCGCCCAAGGCGGTGAGGAGCCCCCCGTGCGCCCGTAGCGAGGTAACGTTCAAAGAGACGCACTTGTCCTGCCCAGGTCCGTCGCCCAGGGCTGAATCAGAATAGCGTCGCGCGCGGCGCCCCAACGCAGCGCTCAGGCGACACATGAAGTAAGCCCAGAAGCACACAGAACTGCCACAAGGGAGCCGTTGTTTGCTCGACTGGCTGGGTGGGCGCGGCTGAGACGCTGACCTCTCGCAGTCGCTGAAGCAGTCGCCCAGACTGGCCCCCCGACGTTGTAGGACATTGCCCAAGCCTGCAGCCACCCCAGTCGCTGCAGCACCCCAAAGATTGAGCACGTTGTCCGCCACCAACATTGTGCAAATGATCAAGTCGGTGTTGGCGGCGTTGATCTTGGTGCCACCGTTCACGTACTTCCCATCGGAAGGTGGGACTGACCTTCCTCGGGCCCCGCCATTGCTTGGTCCTCGGCGTTTTCTTGTCGGGGGCGTCGGCATGCTCATCCTGCAAGTTCACCTTCTTGAGGATCTGTGCGAGCCTACCCTGCGTGGCGAGCTGGTTGGCATTGGCTTCCAGAGCGGCAGCCTGAGCGCGCACGCTGGCTTCAAGAGCCTGAATGCGCCGGTGCTCAGCGCCTGGGAGTCGAACAGGCGCAGGTGGTGGTATAGGGCCCTTGGTCTCGGGCACGGGCGTGGCGCCCTGCTGGGCGGCTGCCGCTGGAACCTCTGGCGGCCTGCCTCGGAGCGCCGCGAGCCGCGGCGGCGTGACAGATGCAATAGATGCTGGAGTGGTTCCCGACGGCGGTGCTGGAGGAGTAGCCGCGGGCAGCGCCGCGGCCAGCACGACGGCGGGTCCGTTGACAGGGTCGCCCCCGCCTGTCACGGGACTCCCAGGGGTGATCTCTGCGACGACCCACGGGATGGACGCGCCGAACTTCCAGTACCTGTTGGCGGGCTCGGTATCGGAGCGAGCGATGGCGTAGTTGGTCTTCTCCGCGGCGTCGAAGCCGACGTAGACGATCTCGGTGGTCCACCCGACCGATTGAGCAGCATCTTGGACTTGGCCTTCTGGTGGCGAGTCCGTTGGGAATGTTGTCGATCCTCCACTTGCGGCGAGCTAAAGCCGCGGCCGTGCCGCGGACTGCTGCAGCTGCTTCGGGTGCTCGCGGGTGGCCCCGAAGAACTCGGAGTCCGAACTGACCGCGATCGCACTTCGTGGTGCCCAGCGCGGCCTCGTGCGACTTGGCGAGTGAATAGGCTTCCTGCATGGTGATGGTCTTGCTAAACCATACGGCGCGCACCTTCTCCTTGTCTGCCTCCTGCTTCTCAGGCGACGCCCCGATGTTTTAGAAGGTGAAAGCAATGCGCCGGTAGCCCGAGTACTTGAAAAGGGCCAGCTCCTGAGACGTCTTGATTGCCAAGAGGGCCCCGAGGGAGCGCTGGCCGTCTTGCCCGCCTGCACGCAGGAGTCGGCTCGGCTCGTCCAGCAGCTCAATCTCGGGGCAGATCGCACTCAACGTAGACTTGATGACCTCCTTGAGGCCGACGTCTAAGGAGAGCTTCGCATCTGAACGTCGAGCCTGCTTCCATCGTTCGTTCGCGGTGCTACCCAGCTTGTCACGCTTGTTGCCACCTGTGACAATCGGCGCAGCTCCACTGAATTGACCGCTGAAGACCTCTTTCATAGTGGTGGTTGACTAGGAGGGCGTCGGCTTCGCGAATAGTCATGCGAATGAAGGCCGCGGTGCCGTCCGCGGCCTCGAGCTGGGCGAGGTTGGTGCGCATCTGAACCTCAGTCTCGCCGAACTGGTAGATGACCCCGACCTGAAAATTCTTGCTCGGGGCCTTTGCACCGTGTGGGACCTTCAGGACTGGGATCTGCATGTTGGCGTGGGGCCACTGCGGGTTCCCTGTGCCAACGGCGAGGATGGCGAGCGGCTGGCGCTGCAGGGCGGAGCACCACTTCTCGGCATCAACCATGGAGTGCAGCGAGACGGAGGACTGGTAGTCACCGTTCGCTGTCTTCGTGGGCGCCTGTGCGATCGGGACGGTCCAGTCCTTCTCATCCAAGGCGATGGGCTGTCGCTCGGGCATGTTGCCCTTCCCCCGTCCTTTGGGGGTGTCCATGCTGTCCATGTTCCCGTTGGTCACCGCGGTGGCACTCGAGATGCGCCGCTGGAGCTCATGGGCCCACGAGATCTTACTATTGGCGAGCAGCTTCTGGAGCGCTCGCATCTGCTTGTCCTCTGGGGTTGAAGCCAGCATCTGGTCTAACCCTGTCTGATCCTTGCGTATTAGCTCGTTGTACGCTGCGACGGCACGATCGTCTCCAGCGCGTTGGATCAGATCCACTACCTTCGTTTTGCGAGCCGCGGGCCCGCTGATCTTCTGTGCTGCTAGCTTTGTCATCTCTGCTCGTCTGGATGGCAACACACAAGGATCGCAAGAGAAACAACCGATCTTCTGCAGTGAATCACTGTCGGTGCCGCCAGGAGTACGATAAACGGACTCGGAGGGCAGATCGGAAGGGCTGCGCGCACTCGCTCCCCAGCGAGTTCGAGCCCATGGTGATGGTGATGGTGATGGTGATGGTGATGGTGATGGTGATGGTGATGGTGATGGTGATGGTGATGGTGATGGTGATGGTGATGGTGATGGTGATGGTGATGGTGATGGTGATGGTGATGGTGATGATCATGATCATGATGGTGATGGTGATGGTGAGGCTGATGGTGATGGTGTTGCTGATGATGTTGATGCTGATGATGACGAAGATGATGATGATGATGCTGATGATGCTGATGATGCTGATGATGACGATGATGATGACGATGATGATGATGCTGATGATGATGATGATGATGCTGATGATGCTGCTGATGATGGTGATGATGATGCTGCTGATGGTGATGAGGAGGAGAGGGGGAAGAGGGGGAAGAGGAGAAGGAGAAGGAGGTGGAGGCGGAGATCTGGGTTGGCGCTCGCCTCGAGGCCCCCGAGATGACGGCGGCACGCGGCCGCTGCGGCGCGATGCTGCCGCGGCTGCTGGAGGCCGTCAGCCGCGGTGGCCCGGGGCTGCCGCCGCTGCAAGCGGACGCCTGCCGCAGCACGGGGCCGGGCGCGGGGGCGCCGCGGGACGCGCCCAAATCTCGGGAGTCCAAGTGCCAGTGGTCCTCCGCAGGGAAGAGGAGCGCGGGGGGAGGGGTTCTCCAGAGGGGGAGGAGGAAGGACAGGGGAGGGGGGCGGGGACGGGGACGGGGACGGGGACGGGGACGGGAACGGGGACGGGGACGACGACGACGACGACGACGACGACGACGACGACGACGACGACGACGACGACTACGACGACGACGAGGACGAGGACGACGACGACGACGACGACGACGACGACGACGACGACGAGGACGACGACGACGACGACGACGACGACGACGACGACGACGACGACGACGACGTGGCTGGCGAGGCGCCCCGGCGCGCCGGGCCTCCTCCGCCGAGGGCGCCACGCGACCCCTGGAGCTCGCGGGGGCGCTGCCCGCGCTGTCGCTGGCCTCGTCGCGCCATCCGCGCAGCGAGGGTGCCCGCTTCCTGCCCCTCCTGTGGGGCGGCCGGGGTGGGCGAGGACCGCTAGACAAGACGAAACAGGGCCACCTGAGGAAGTGCGAGGAGGAGGAAGACGAGGAGGAGGAGGAGGAGGAGAAGGAGGAAGAAAAGGAGGGGGAGGGGAAGGGGGGGGGAGGGGAGGAGAGGAGAAGAAGGAGGAGAGGAGGAGGAGGAAGAGGAGGAGGATGAGGAGGAGAGGAAAAGTGGAGGAGGGAGGAAGAGGACGAGGAGAGGAGAAGGAGAAGGAGGAAGAGGAGAAGGAGGAGAGGAGGAGAGAGGGGGAGGGGGGAGGAGGAGAAGGAGAAGGATGAAGAGGAAAAGGAGGGAGGAGGAGGAGGAGAGAGGAGGAAGGAGGAGGAGCAGGAGGAAGGAAGGAAGAGGGGAGGAGAGACGAGGGGAGGAGGAGGAGGAGAGGAGGAGGAGGAGGAGGAGGATGGGGGGAGGGGGAGGGGGAGGGGCAGGAGGAGGAGGAGCAGCATCAGCAGCAGCAGGAGGAGCAGAAACAGGAGGAGGAGGAGCAGGAGGAGGAGGAGCAGGAGGAGGAGGAAGAGGACGAGGATGATGATGGGGATGTTTTGACATCAACCGTGCCCAACAGACGACGGATTCGCCGTCGCCACCTGCTCCCTGGCCTGGACGAATGCAGGCCAGCAAGCAGTGTGAAAAGAGGCAATGGGAGGGCGGGCGAGACAGCCACGGGGCGATTTCCCGCAACGGGGAGGATCCCCTGTGGCTAACCGCCCGGGCCCCAAAAGCCAGGACCAATGAAGGGAGGTCGAGGCCGAGACGCCCGTCGGGCAGGGAAGTCCAAAGGGGCATCTCTAAGTCCAATGCGTCGGACTGCGAAACAGTTGAGGCAACGCTTGGGGTTCCTCCCTCTTCGAGGGTGGGGCGCGCCAGACGCACACCAACAACCATCCTGGGCGGCATTGTGCCCATGTAGGCTGCCCCCACCGTTCTGAGCGGGAAGGGGATAAACAGGGCAAGGCATGGGTCGAGGCGGGGACGCCTCCGTGCCAGGCCTGAGCCAAAACGAAACACTCGTGCCGCGCGCCTTCCACCACAACTGGGGTGCCTGACACACGTGCAAACGACGCAAACGACATGCACGAACAAACAAAGCGACGCCAAGACGACGCGGCTGACCAACCCCTACTGAAACGCCAGGACGGTGGCCAGCTTCGCCCCCAGTGTGGGCCTGACTCAGACCGCCGAGCCAGTGCCCCCGTGCTGGGCCCTCCAGATGCGGCCCACTGGCCAACTGGGCGGAGCGATCAAGGACCTATCGTCTCCCGCTCCAACGCAGGGAGCAAAGCCTTCAAACGGCAGAGTCTTAAATCGAAAGACCAGGCAGGCAGGGCAACGGTCGGGGCGGAGCTCCACCCCCCTGCCGCGCACAGAAGGCAGTTCAGAACATAGCACCCGTGCAGCGCACCCCCCCCCCACAACTGGGGTGCCTGATACACGAGCAGACGCGCACACGAACACGCACGAAACTCATGGCGACGCCAAGGCGACTCGGCTCCACTACCCCTGGTGCGCCGAACGCCAGGACGGCCGCATGCTCCGTCCCTGGTGCGGGCCTAACTCAACAGTCGAACCAGGGCCCCCGTGACGGGCCCTCCAGATACGGCCCTGTGGCCAACTGGGCGGAGCGATCAAAGGACCCACCGCCTCCCGCTCCAACGCAGGGGACACAGGCTTCAAACAGCTGAGTCTGCTAGGAGAAGCTTCTTCTACCACTTCCAGCGGGTCAGGAGCCACTGCCACGCGCACAGGAGCAGGCTCGGTACTCGACGACGACGGACAGATGACGACTCGATCTCCCTGCTTCTGTGCAGCAGCTTGTGCCAAGGGGGGCTCAACCTCCATTGGGACGGCTGGTGGCGGGCCTGGCGTTCCCCCAGCTGCGACCATAAGCCTACGCACAAGACTGGCAGCGCGTGCCTCCTTTTCATGGTCGGCGAGGCGCCGCGGCAGCTCCTCTGGGCCCTGGTCACAATACCAGGGCCAGGCCTCGACAGAAACGCCTCGCCGCTTGGGGCGCGCACCAGTGCCCACAGAAATCCAAGCCGACTTGGCCCCAGCACTCTGGGGACAGCCATCACACTTCTCATGCAAATTGCGAGGCAGCCCGCGGGAAGAATAGGCATAGCACCGCATACAGATGGTAAGCACAGCCCCATCCGAACAAAGCAAGGCAATACAACTGTGCTGGAGGGCACGGAGGGCCGCCGCCTCAAGCCTGGAATCTCTGAGACACTTGCCAGGGGGCGGTGGGTCGAGGCCTCCGAGCTTGCCTTCGCCAAGACTAAAACGCGGCACTCCCTTGGCTACTTTGAGACACTCGAAGCACTGCCAAACATCGGAAACCCGAACCCAACGATGAGGCCGGGGATCCACCTTGGGCTTCGGGGGCTCAGGGGCCAAAGGGATGCCTTTTAGGTCGAGCCTGGGCCACAATGGCATCAGCTCAGCGGGAAGTCGCATAACACACTTCGCGATAGACAGGCACCGATCAAGCCATACGGCATCGCACGGGTCGGGTTGCGGGTGCCTGGCGAGTGAAAGTTTGGCAACACTGTCAGCTAGGTCGTTGCCCAGCTTCCAGAATCGTTCCAACTCTGAAAGGCCCCATAGATTCTTCCACATGGGCCTTGACCTCGAAAACTCCCTCGACCAACTTCCGATGGGTGGGGAGCAGAAAACAGAGCACACACGCGTATAAGACAGGGCCCGCATCAAAGGTTCGTTCGCTTGAACCACTATGCTTTTGCTATCAGCATAGATGGGGCCCCCAGGCAGGGCGCGCATCGCAGCAACAGCGTAGGCCCCAAATTCCCCTCCTTGGGCAGTAAGGGAGTTAGGGGCCCACAAAGGACAACTGATGCGGCAAACCTCGTCGCCGTCACCCCCTACAACTACGATTCCCCAACCAGCCCTGGAGAGTTCTTTGACGGTATGAGTAGCGCACGACCCATCGACAAAAATGTGCCCAGAGATATCGAGGGACCTGCAGGAGCGGTCGTGGTCCCAAATAACCTCAAGACCAGCATCCCCAACGACATCCCGAGCGGGAAAAAGAAACATATCCAGGATGCAGAAACAAACCTCTGGTGAACAGCAGGAAATCCTACTCATCCTTGTCACGGGTCAGGTCGGGCGGGGGCATGAGGGTAAACCCCTCCTTGGAACTATCAAACACTTCCTGCCGCTTGTCATGGCACGCGGAGCAGAACCAGAGCCGATGAAGCATGATACCGGCCGCAACACCGCAGAGGTCGCACGTCGCGTCAACCCCGCATCCTGCTTCGGCAGCTCTCATCCTAGTCCAAGTGGCATTACAAGCGACAGCTTTGGCACACCCTCGCCGCAAAGGCGCGCCCTTCTTGGAGCACAGCGTGGATGCCACAACATCGTGACAAGCTCGAGCACCAGGCGTGCAAGGAAGCAAGGCGGCGCCGCTGGCTCGCTTATGGGCCCCCTGCACCGCGGCCTTCAGAAACTTCTTCAGAAGGGCGGGGGAGGTGACGGTGAGGGAAACTTCCGCCCCGAAATCATCCAGGAGGGCGCAGTAGTTAGGCATGCTCCAGGAAATCCGATCCAGGGCAAGCTTCATGGCCCCCAGAGGCCCCTTCACTCCACGCCAGGTTTTGGGGCCCGAAGAGACAAACACACAGGCCCAGGCGGCCCGCAACTCAGCCCAAGGAATGACAAACGGGAAAAGTATAGTTCGGTTGGCCCATATTTCCTTGGCGTAGCGCACGACAGGCGCCACGGCGGGGTACCAGGTCGGGTCCTGGGAAAGAATGCGCACCGAGGTCCGAGACCTCATCTCGGCAGAAGGCTGCATAGTGCTGGCGGCGGCGACCTGCAGCCGTTCCCATTCAAAGCTGGAAATGCCGTGGACCTCGGCCCAAAAAGTAATACTGGGCACGGGGCCAGCGGTAAAAAATGTGGCGGCATGCCTGCCCAGGGGACGCTTGGCCCTCCTGAGCCTCCTCTGTTTGTTTGCCAAACACCCTCTTACGGTCGGTGGCCTTCTTGCCTCTCCTCGGGGCCCGTCGAGAACAACCACGGGAAATGTCAACGCCTAAATTGACGGCCGACTCCACGACAGGTCCCGCAAGCCCCCCAAGACAGTCTTTGACCTGATTGGCGAGCACATCCGACGAGGCAACGAGAGGAGCTTTGTCAACCGAAATACCAGCGCCCATCCCGTTCTCGATGGCTTCCCTGAGGTTCGCTGCGGCCTCAGGGAGGCGCTCAACTACGTAGGCACTCGTGCCAGTGCAGCTGAGGCCGTAGGCGTCTATGTAGATATCAAGGGTGACACCTGGGGGCAGCTTCAGCGCGTCGAGCGCAGGGATGGCATTGATGCGCACCATCGCGGTTGCGAAACCACAGCCTGCGACGACACCTCGGTCAACATAAACAGGGCCGACCACAAGGCCTGACAGAGAAACGCGCCTGTCGTGCCGATATCCGCGCACAGCAAGCCTCGCTAACTGCACGGGAAACTTATACTGGTGGCAGCGCTGAAGGAGTGTGGTCAGTTGAACAAGTTCAAAGCATCTGAAGAGATTCCATAACAGGGTGCAGCTGGCTTGCTTCTTGGCCACAGCTCCTTCAGCTCGCAAAGTTTGTCCCCAGACGACATCGACGGCAGAGGTGAACTGGGAACCAGCGAAATAGCTGCTCTGAAAACCACATCCCCATTGGGTCGCGTACTTTCGGCGGCACCGCCCCCAGAGGCGGCAGGAACTACAGAAGAGCCCAATGGGCCGAAAGCCCCTCGAGGGCGCCTGCAGCAAGGATGGAACCACCGACGAGACCTGGCCATGGAAAAGCCCCGAGGCTTCCATAATAGAAAACATGGCCCCCAGGACCCCGATGGGCCCCGTCAGAAAGAGAAGCGTAATGTTTCATGTGAAACCCGTCCACCGCGGTGGCAGATCGCGAGGAATACCGCCT